TAAGAGCCCCATCCTTCTTGCTGTCTGTGGCTCTGTCTAAGCCCAGTGCCCAAGGCCATGGAGCATGAGGAGAAGCTCACTCCTTGTTTGGAGACTGTTCTATTTGCTCTTTCCACCATCTCTGTGCCTACCCCAGGATTCAGACAGCCTGTAGAGCATGACAGGCGGCTGTGGTGAGTGCAGCCTGGTGGAAGCAGACAGTGGTCACTGAATTTATCAGCTGTGGCTCATTGGCTTTTACTGGAGAAAAAGACAATAACGTCTTTCAGGGCAAAAGTCCTTCTATATTACACCTGCTCACAGCCTCTGATTTGCCTAAATTCCACTTGCTCCCCTCATTAGTTTAGTCCTTCCTTTGCTTCAGAAGGCTTTTCTGCTCCCTACTTTTCCCCATTCTTGGATGTGTAAGTGCAAACAGTGTTGACGTGTTGCAGCTCAACAAGAGCTCCTGAGCACCTCGGGCTTCCAGTAAAACCAAGAACCAGGAGCAGAAGGTACTTCAGGCCCCCAACTTTCATACATTCATGGTGTTCATCTCCAGTCTTTCACTTTAGAGTTATGAGGTTATCAGTGACTTGTGATAGCACGGTGTGTGGAGCAGGCTGATGCTACAAGGAAGGTTGCATGTTTAGCTGTAGCTCTGCTGTCTTGGATGTGTCTGTGCAGATAAAACAGCACTACATTTCCCACTAATGACAGCTCGTGTTCCTGGGCACAGCTCAGAGGATGAGCTGGTCACAATGCTCAGGAAACACGCTCAGCTCAACCTCCATTACATGAGACTTGAGCAAGGCTGAGGTGGATGGAGACATGGTGGATATCGATGCTGGTAAATTGCACTGTGGTGAGCAAAGTCCAGATGGTCTCACAGTTTTCAGGAGTTTGGCCATTGCCTTGTGTTGGTAGAAAATACACACTGGAATGCTGGAGTTACTTGTAACTGTCCATGTCTTGTCAGCAGGTTGCTGCTGCAAAGCCACCCTCCATGTTTCCCTGACACATCCACACCACCAGGCATCAGCATCATTTCCTGTAGAGGCTCAGAGGCCAAGCTGGCAGCCCATATTGCATCTCTTGTCTCAGGGGCTAATGCCTGTCCTGAGCTACAGCATTACAGGGTAGCAAACAGGCCATGGAGAGAGGGGAAAACGGAGAATAAAAGAGAGATGTCTGGGTCTGGGTAGGGAAAGGAATTTGGAGCAGGAGCTAGGGAGGACATCTGGGAACCAGATTCCTCTCCTTGAGCCCACTGCAAGGAGCTGGCTTGGATAAACAAGAAGTGTTCTTGTTTCTCTGCTGAAAGCTGCAAAATGTGATAAGAGTAGGTGATCTGGCGTTGTAGGAAGAGGTGACATCTAGGGGAAATCACTGTGCTTTTCATGCCTTTTAGCTCGGTGAATAGTCTTACAACTCTTTTAGAACAGTGAGGCAAAATTTGAGCCCCTGAGTTGACATCTGCACTGCATGTTCTCAAATGAATGTCCCTTGGGGTGGTGCGGGGGGACCTGTGGCACTCACTGGTGTTGGGTGGAAGGATTAGCAAAAGTAAAGCAAATTTTCATCAGAGCAGAGTCAGTTGACAGAGCTCAGGAGTAGATTACCATCACAGCTGCTCTGAGCTGCACACCAGGAATTCAGGGGCGGACAAACAAGCCAAGCAGTGAAGCTTTCTGCTGTTTTTCTGTCTTTTGACTCACAGCAGGGACTGAGCCAGGGGATAGGAGTGTAGGCGTTGCAGAAGTTCACGTGAGTGGATGGTCTCTGGCGTGAGTAATTTGTTGGACTGGGTTGGCTTATGTTTGCTTTCTGTCGAACTCACATTGCCTGAGCCAAAGATAGCATCCTTTTTCTTTTTAAACCCATTTTTCCATATTCTGCTGGCTGAAAGAGGGGGTGCACAAGCGACATGTCTGCAACAATGCCATAAATCCAGACAGAAATAGAATTAGCAGTTCTTTCTGGTTCCGGTGTTTGTATCTGCGAGGTCGTGAGCTTAACCAGTCTGGGTTCCTCAGAGCAGAGCCGTGTCTGTGTGAACCTGTTGTGCTTTGGGACCTGGTGCTTGGGTTTTGTTCCAGAACAATATCATAAAACTTTTATAGCAACGTCATGACAAAGAGCATGGGAAGAGAAATAACTTAACCCTCTGTTGCTGAAGTTGGTGTTGCAAACGCTTCTCCTGTTTCCCCATGCAGCAAATCCTTCAGTTGAATATGGAGCATTATGGGAAGAGAGCAGATGCAAGATCTGTGGACATGGGGAAGAGGAAACAAGCAGGAATCTGTCTTTGCACAGATTACCATTTCTTAAATGTCTCCAAAGTCCATTCCTGTCCTATTAGGCCCTGACACATATCGGTAGTGTTATTTGTTGGCACTTTTGTACTGCATTGTGCTCCAACATTTGTATAACTGGGCTTTTAATCTATGTTGATTATGTTTTAATTGAATAAATAAATCTTTTACAGAGCCCAGAATCAATAGAGATGTTTCCATTCTATTTTATTTTATTTTTCTAGGTTTCCTAAGGACATTTAACTTTTACAACCTTACAACTTGTTCTGCAGTGTTTGCTAGTCAGCTATTGCATAATTGTTCTGGGGAATGAGAACCTGGGAATAACATGGCCCAGAAATGCTAAGAAGCAGAAATGAAATTGGCTGATCTTCTCATCTACCACCATCCCTTCTCTCCAGGACCAGGGTGCCAAGCAGGTCCTGTGTGTACTCCAGGTTTATTCCTGGGTCTGTCATTCCCTTGATTTATCACCTCACACATGCTGGGGTCTTGGATGCCCTTTGCATCTCCCCTCTCCTTTCCAGGCTGACTTTTGGCTGCTTGGCTTAAAAATTCGCTGGAGTGGAGCAGTCACAGTTTTTCTGTCTGGGAAGCCTGTGGCAGTTATAGACCAACAACTTGGAGGATGGAGAAAAACCAAACAAGAGCCATGAAGTGGAAAGGAAATTGTACTTTTGGAGATATAAAAATCCAGGTGCCTACAGTTAACCAGGAGTAAGGGTCTGGGGTAATTCCTGTGAAAAATATTTCTCTTTTTTTGAACAATAGTTTGGATGGAAAGACTTTGGCTCTATAATAAAAATAGGCAAGAAGAGTCGAGTTTTTAAATAGTTTCTAACCTGACTCTCAGCCTTTTAAATGTGGTGTTCTTACATAAAGCACATAGGAGCTTCCATTTTCTTGTTAGTCAAGCCAAATTTACTGTAATCCAATAAAATTTAATAATCATTAGGAACTAATGAATGCCTCAGCACGTATAAGTTTGGCCAACAAATAGCCTGTCTACTTTACATAACCTGTCTCTCATTGACCAACTTGCCACTTATATGTCAGATTGATGACTGGGGAGTTCTGTAAAACAGGTAATGATCAAATACTCCTGAAATGAAATTTAAATAAAAACTATCTGGAACAGCCAGTGAGCCAAAGGAAAAGGCAAATTTTTGGCTTGGAAAATTGAAGTGACTTGGTGAGAGTGAAGGCAAACAGAGCTGGATTGTCTGTGGGGAGGTGCTGGTATGGTCTGAACAGGCTTTGCAGTTGAAATTAGGTGAGTTGTTAGGTAATTCTTTGGTATTTTTATTATTGAAGTCGTCAAGCTCTGAATGAGCTCTTCTGCACTGAACTCTGTGGTTGCACATACGTGGAGAGACTCTGCAGATAAGTAAAAAATGGAAAGACAGAAGAAAATTAACTCATGTTGAGAGAAGACTTTCAGTGTAATATTTCCTTTGACTCAAGAACTTTGATTTCTGTGCATGCCCTGATATTGTGGGCTGGCTTAGTGGGGCTGGCTCCTGGCACCTACTTCCAACACTGTAGGGATCCTTAGCTGCTTTTCTTAAATTTCACATTCCTAATGGAGCTGCCTAATTTCCAAAGCACTGAAAACATTAAAGAGGAAGATGTTTCCTAGTCTATACCTGCCTTTGTGCCCTGTCAGGATGTACCACTGTTGGGTTGGGCTGTACAGTGCAGAGGTCCTTTCCAGAAGTGTTGGAGTAGGTTAATTGATCAAAAACAAAGCATGTGAACGAGTCCTCTTTTAAAATACTTATTCTAGCAGGGCTTGCGGTGCAGCCCTTGAATAGTGTCTTAGGGGTCACATGCACTCCTGTAGTGCTGAGACTTGGGTTTTACTTTTTGAGGTGGGTGTTGGTGGTGAAAATTCGTGTCTCTTCCCCTCCAAGGGAGTGTCCCTACCAGTCTGGGTACAAGTGGGGCTGGGCATAGAGAAAGCATAGAGAAAGCAAAATGTGTTGAATTAGAAAGGGTCCTGGCTGCATGTTGTCATTTTTTTCTGGGGTTTCCTGCACAATAGCCTTTTTACAGGGACCTTATTTATGCTATTTTGTGACTGCTTATTGCAAATCACACCCTTCACCTTGAATCTGCTAGAAATGGATTGAACCTTTCCACTCTTCCTTGAAGGGGCTCATTTTTCAGATGGAATTTGTGAAGAAGTGTTGAATCAGACAGGTACAGTTACCAGGAATTGATTTAGAATAAGAATAGGTGCATGTGGGTGGTCGCTGACCACTATGGCTTCTCTGTGGCTGGCACTAGGGCAGCTCTTCTTTCTTTGTGCTTTGCCTGGGAGGGGGACGTGGCAGAGGAGATGCTCTCAGGATCCAGGTTCTGGATCCTGTTCAACCTGTCCCCAGCTATGTTTTCCCAGATGGGTATTCTTGGTGTCCTGCCTCTTCACCTCAGCAGCGAATTGCCGAATTGTTAATCCTCCAAGTCAGTTTAACACAGTGTATTTCATTCACATTTCCCATTGTGGGAAATACAAGAAGAAAAGCCCCAAAGCAGCATAAATCCCTGTGAGATGGAGGCTTACTGCTTATTCTGGAGGGAACTATAGCATTTCAGCCTGTTTGTCTCTGCAAGTTATTGATGGACATGGTCGCAGCTCTATGAGTAAGAAATCATGTACCAGGCCAAGTGGTTTGAATAACTGGAATTTTTTTCTTCTTTAAGGTGAATCCTGGTGGCAAGACGCTTGAAGAGAGGCGGTCCAGTTTAGATGCAGAAATTGACTCTCTGACCAGCATCCTGGCCGACCTGGAGAGCAGCTCTCCATACAAACCTCGGACCCAACAGGTTAGTGGCACGTTGCATAAACAGAGAGTGGGAAAGGGGCCAGCATCGACTTCTGGAGTCAATTTGCTAACTGCTTGGTATTTGTTGCGAGCAGGCATGCCAGTTCCTCCTGATAGCATCCAGATGTGGCTGTCAATGGGGAGAAGGGCGCAGCTGCTCTGAGGGGGCACCGGCTCAAAAGCTGCCGCACCTCTGAGCGAAGGGCCTCTGATCCCGATTGTTAGATTGCCACGGAGACTGTTAGAGAAATACTGGCATTGCAAAATTGGCATTTCATTCTCCTCAACTTTCAACCAACAATAGCTTGTGAATTAAAACCTGCTCAGTTCATAAGTACTTCTTTGCTTTTATTTTCTTGTCATTTTTCTGTTTTGTTAACTTTTATCTGTCATGCCACCAGAAGGATCCAGATATTTGTGTCTCAAGTTGTTTTCTTTTGTTTTTTGTCATCTAATCAGTGGCGATGAAGTGGCTTGGACCATAGCTCAGCTGTCAGGGTGGCTGTAGCCCAGCAAGGCAGACAGGAATTCACACTTCTCTGCTGTGTCTAGACGAGGACTGCAGGGGTGTCAGTGGCTCGGCTAATTTTTGTCACTCATCCTAGGTAGTGCTTGAGTGGAGCTATTTAAGTTCTGATGAGATGTCATCTATCTATCAGAGGAAGTGGTGACACCCTGGTGGCACTTTAAAACAGGGCAATTCTTGGGATCTCATAAAATCTCATAAAATCATCCCAGATATGTTTGTGCCCAGTTGTGCCTTGTTTTTCCTTCCTAATTTCATGACTGGTCTCATTTCTTAAATGTCTGTAGGGATGTATGCAGCTATATATATGCTGTATTAATCTTACTAAACCCCTGAAGTCGAAAGTATCAAAGGGATAGGTGAGTGATGGGCACACACCCATATAAACCTTCTCTTTGGTTTGTGGCTTTTTTGGTTCATTTCATTGCTGCATTTCTTTTAAGTAGCTGAGAACCGATACTTTTGGAGCAGAACTAAAGTAGTGATCAGAGTCTGTTTAGAATTGCACATGTTTAAGTCTGTGAACTGAGCAAAAGCAAAGTGAAATTAGATTTGTGCACTTTTGGAAGTGTCCATCTGCCACTGAGGCTCTGAGTTTCCCATCCCTTCTGCAGGGACCTCCCTGTTAAACTCTTCTTTCATTCTAGCAGCATGTGCACAGTTATTGCATAAAATTACAGACTTGTCCTTGAAAACAGTCTAATTTGGGTTAGTCAGTCAAAAAGAGCAACAATGTAAACCAGATACAATTCAGTCCTTTTCCCAGTGAGTTTTTGTTGTTGCGATAAATGAGACAAGTTCTGCTCACGCACTGCTTTGAATAGCCCATGTTCATTTTGTTTATGTGGGCCAAGCACACACAAATGCACACTATTACTGGGAAATGCTTTGTAGTGTCAGAACACTGTTGAGAGTTAACTGAAACACATTTGTGCTCCACCTGTGCATTGTCAATGCCCCTGGTCAGCTCCAATATCTTTGTAGTAAATTCTGTGCCCATTTTGCTGAGCATTTGCAGTTCGCTGACATTGCTGATGACTGCCTCCTGATACTTCTTCCTTTGTGATCTGGGGTTCTGTGAATAGGTTGTTTTTTTCACTTTTATTTTACACTTTTACCATTAAAAAAGATAAATAAAAAATTCACAGCATTCTGTTGCAAACTTCTGTAGAAGCATTTGAGTTTCTGGAAGATTTTAAGTCATAGCCCAAGTTTGGGCATCACCTTCCAAGATGACATGTGCTGCTTGGGGCACATGCTCGTTCCCATGGCTTTTTGCCCACAGCTCAGGTGGGGGCTCTGCAGATTTGTCCCCCCTTACCCAGGATGGTGAGTGTCCCAGGTGCATTACACACTGTGCAGTTCGGTGGGCAGAAGAAGCTAAACTCTAGGATCAAATCCTAATTTCTTTTGTTCAGTTTATCAGGCTTTTCAGGACTTACTGGTTAACATAATGATGTCCTGTGAAAAGTGCAGCTACAGCAACTTTTAACTTGAGCTGTTAGAGAAAGAAAATGCCAGAGTTGGATGTATCATCTGCTGTAATTAAAGAATACTCAAACAAGTCCTTGAAAGGTGGAACTAGAACATAAAGCTTTGATATTTTCTTTTGTTTGATCTGTACTAAGTATTAAAACTGGTGAGTCATTTGATGGTCTTATAGTAGGATAATAGATTAGGCTGCAAATTGTAAGGTACTTACTCAGAACATGAGCACATTTATTGGATTACACCTTAGCTGACCTTCCCAAATTTATCAGGTTAATGGCTGCAGATAGGAAAATAGAGTTACGACTTGTTGTCAGAGAAGACATTTTCAGTTGTGCTTATGCGGTTAAAGCATTATAATAATTTTATAGGAATACCTTGCCCTTGGGGATATTCCTATTCTGGAATAAGAGAAATTTTATTGTTAGGTTCCTCTTTTATATTATCTTCAAGACAGTTTTAAAGCAACATAAGCTAAATGGTAACATAGTCCTCTCTCAGGGGAGTAGGAGTGATAGCAGGGTAATGACAAACAGTTTGTTTAACATACCCTGCCCATTGGCATAAATTCACACAGAGGGAAGGGAAGCTCTATTGATCCTTGGTATGAGTTCAAGATTGCAAAGAGACACACTGCACCAGGAGGTGCCTCTGACACAGAGAGATGTGTGCTCTCTGCAGTAGGTCTGGAAAGTCCATAATGTTTCTCAGAATGGGTGGGCCAATCCCAGACAATGTCCCTTAGCCAGCAGGCCTGCTTTGAATTTCTGCACCATCCCTGCATTGCTTACCTGGGTGTCACTCTAAAAACAATTTTTTTGTCCTGGGTTGGTGACAAGGACACTGCCATGAGCTTAAAATGACCACAATTAATAGAAGGTAGGGACAGAATTTGGACACCTATGGTCAGCAGTACCCTCCTTGTATCCGATGGTCCTGCCTAACTGAAGGCAGCTGAGTTGGAAAGCAAAGGTGGCTGATGGCTGCTTCCCATGCAATGGTAAGAGAAGGTAGGATGTTGCTGTACTGCAGAGCTGTGTTGCCCTCTCCTCTGAAGTGATGAGTTTGAAAAGCATTTTCTCAACATGGATCCTTTATGGAGCAGAAAACACCTTTCCTTCACATATCAGCAGGATTGGTGGGATAGGATCCTTCTGCAAGTCGGGTATCCCTGCAGGAGTCAACCTCAATGTCTCTAAACCTCAAAGTGAAAGATTCTCTCAGGTTTTGTGTTTGGAAAGTTCTTGTCTCTGTCTTGAGGCAGTTGTTGAGAGAGTCCCCTGCAGCAGAGGTTTTTTAGCCACTGATATTTTCATATTGGCCATCAATAACACGTGGGTAGCTTTCAATCACTATAACCTCAGAGCCAGGCTGAATCCATGTCTTGCAAGTGAAAGTCTCTCTGAATCACAGAACCAGTCAGAAGTGATTAAAATGCAGGCTTTACCTTTGAAAATTGCACATCTCTAAAAGCAGGGAAAATTACAAGACTAAATCATCATTTTTAGCCTCAACACAGCAGCATCTAAGGATGTTTTCTGTCGTGTGAGGTGCTGTAGGAGAGACCATATTCAAAGAGTTCTGCTTGAGCTTAAGTTTTAGAAAGGACCTGTGTGACCTTCACCATCATGACGAGTTCCAGCCCTCTGATACAATGAATTGGAACGGAGAAGATGACCAACATGATCTCAAAATTACAGTGACTGCAGTGTCATGTGAGATTTAGCTTGCCTTGGGTATTGTTTGAAGAACTGCAGATGCACTATGAAAAAGATCTAATTAATATTTTCCTCTCACTTGGTAAAGCTTGGAAGTGCTAGTGTGATGAGTAAAGCACAGAGCTCCTCTTGTGTAGCTGCAGTGTGTTTCTGTGTACATATAACACCTTCTAAATTTCAGGAACGCATTGGAAAGTTCAGAGGCAGAGAACCCACTGTGTCTTTCATTAGTAAAAGGAGGCATTAGTAAAAGACAAGACATGAGGTGCATAACTTTTGTGGATGGGAACAGGAGCTAGTCCTAAATTGTGTGAACCCCTGAGCAGAGGCCTGGTGAATGCTGCAGTCATCTGGCTCCTCTCTTAAATGGTATTTTTCCCAGTTTTTATCTGTTCTGCTTAAATCCTTGCTTAAGACATCAGTTCAACAAGAGCTTAAGAAAAAAAAAAAAGCCAAATTTCAGCCCATAAAATAAATGTTTGCATTTTTTGAAAAACAAGAAAACTTTGTGGCGTTGGAGAGAGGACTTCCAGCAGAGACTGTGAAAATGAAATACTGGAAATAGCAGCACACGTAAGCTCAGGATTTCTTGCCCCTGCTGTGAATTATGTATTGAACGCTGATTGCTTGGTCTGGAATTGGACACCTACCTTCTGAAACTCTTGAGTTTTATCCCAAATTTCCAACAGAATATCTGTTTGGCAAAATAGCACTTTGTGGGAGGTGTACCAAGTAATAAGATGTACCTGGTCTGGAGGTATTTAATATTTTTTTAAAAGCAAATACTGTGTTGCCAATATTTGTGAAGTATTTAAATAGCAAAAAACTTGTTTGACCATGCATCATGGTCAAGATGAAATCCATTTGTGTACAGTTCTCAGTGGTACCTTGATCTGGAGGGAAGTGGGCTGGCACTCTGAAGACCTGTTTCATTCCCAGCTGCCACCACTGTGTTAAATTACCTTGAACATAGCATTTCCTCATTGCTTCCTCTCAAAATCTCTTCTGTCCTTGTAGCCTGGAACCTCTTCAGTGTGAATTGCCTCTTACTACCCATGTGTATGGCACATAGCAGTGTGAAACTGTGGTCTGGTTTGAAGGTGATGTGGTTGTACAGGTAGTGGAAAAGAGAAAGAAATTAATTTTTTTCATCTAACAGATGGGGAAAATTAAGGCAGAGTTAGGCAAGATATGTGAGGGTTTATGCCTGTGTCCCTGCCTCTGTGTCATTGCCCCTAGTACTAGACATCTACCACTATCCAACACTGT